CCCCTCCTCCTCCTCCTCCTCCTCCTCCTCCTCCTCCTCCTCATCTGGAGTCGGTGCCCGACGACCCGAGGGGGCCTATGGGGGCCCCGAGGAGACCGAAACTGGCGGCAAGCCTCGGGACCCCTCGAGGCCGCCTACAGAGGCTCCGAGCACCTTGGGTCAGAGCATCGCGATGCATCGCCGATGCACCGGCGATGTACCGGCGACATCGGGATAGATGAAAGCGGGCTACAACTGGAGTCGCATCGCCAATGCATCGGCGATCGTCCGCCACCACCTGCTCGGACCGAAGCTGTCGAGGAAGACAGAGCCGCATTGGTACCACCTCTCGGAGGTCCGCGCGGAGCTCTTGGCTCGGTGCCGGGCCTCCCCATGGCGGCGACTGCGGCGCCGCCCGCTCGACGCGCCAGCGGAAGCTCATCTCTAATTGTGCCGTTGTTGTTTACTCCCCGACAGCTCAGGCCAAAATAGAGGGGATCGGGGGATCGCGCCGCGACCGCCATGCATCGAGACACGGTCTGGGGCCCAACCTCCTCCATCCCGACTCTCGGCGATGCAGCGCGATCCCCCGACCGCATCCGCCCGGACCCCATTTGGGCGACGAGCAAAAACGGGTCTTACGCGAGATGACAAGGCGGCCTTACGCGGCGCCTTACGCGGGCCGCCAGCGCGGCACGCTGCGCTGGGGACGAGGACGCTCACGCGCGGCCTTGTGCGGGCAGCCTGCGCGCCCACGCAGGCGAGGACGACCCCGCTTCTGTGCTGCGCCGCTCACCAGGGCGGCCTCCCGAGGAGCGGGGCGCATCCATCCTGGACGGTCCCGTCCCGGGCCCAGCCTTATGTCGGGCGTGTCCCCCTACAGGGAGATTTTCGACGAAAAATGCAATAGAAAATACCCCCAAAATACCTCAGAAAGGCAAAACAAATATCCACAACAGTCCCCAGACTATTTTTGGACTATTTTTGGCTATTTGGGGGGTGTTCTTTATCTTTCGTCGAAAATCCCCCTGTAGGGGGACAGGCCCGACTTGAGCCCAGCCTCGGCGTCTGCGCCGCCCTGGCCCGGCCAGGGGCGGCGCGCGCACCGGCCCCGGAGGGGCCCAGGAGGGGCCCAGCCCGGCTCGGCGAGGCGGCCAGCTGGCGCGCCCCGGAGGGGGGGAGGCGGGCAGAGCAGCCGAGGGCCAAGGGGGAGGAGGAGGAGGAGTGAGGAGTGGGGAGGAGGGGGAGGAGGAGGAGAAGGAGGAGGAGGAGGAGGAGGAGGAGGAGGAGAAGGAGGAGGACGAGGAGGAGGAGAGGAGGAGGAGGAGAGAGGAGGAGGAGGAGGAGTGAGGAGGGGGTCGCCCTGATCTGGGCTGGCGTCCAGGCGCGCGCGCCCCGAGGGGGAGGGCAAGCGGGGGAGGCAGGGAGGGCAGGAGTGAAGGCCGACGGGGGGGGGGGGGGGCAGGGACGGAGGGAGAGCCAGAGGATGAGGGCGCCCCGGTCTGGGCCCGCGCCTCGGAGTGCGCCCCTGCCCCAGCGCGAGGCTCGGCCCAGAGCAGACTGGGCAGAGTGCCGAGGTCGCGGCAGAGGAGGAGGAGGAGGAGGAGGAGGAGGAGGGAGGAGGAGGAGGAGGAGGAGGACGAGGAGGACGAGGAGGAGGAGGAGGAGATGAGGAGGAGGACGAGGAGGAGGAGGAGGAGGGAGGAGGAGGATGACGAGGGAGGAGGAGGATGAGGAGGAGGAGGAGGAGGAGGGAGGAGGAGGAGGAGGAGGAGAAGGAAGCGGCAGGATCAGTCAGCATTGAATCAGAAATCGGATCGAATTGAAATCTGCGTCGGATCGGGATGCATCGGCACGAAGTGCACATCCAGTCGAATCGGCTGCGCCCGGATGCACAACAGAGCCATGCAAGCGTCGGGCCGCATGGGGTCGCCCGAAGATCACAAATCGAATCGGATCGGGCCGGGCGCAACCGGTATCGACGGAGATCGATCGAACCCACGTGGGCCCTGGAAGGGAAGCATAAAAAACACAGAGTTCCTGGATCGGCGCTGGGTACTGCGATCGGCGCTGCACGCCCATCCCTGGCGCGGCCGCCAGGGGAAACCCAGCGCCGATCCACGAAATCTGCGCGCGAACCCCGGAAACTGCAGGATGTCTATGACCGGCTCGAGGGGGGAAGCATCGAGCCGGAACCGACGGCGCCATCGCTCGGACGTCCATTCCCCGTGCATTTTTCGGTTTCGTGCGTATTTTTTCGCTAGGCTAGGTGAACAAAAATGCTCCTCGGTGATCCTCGCCGAGAAAAGATGTACACATCCGAGCGATGCCAAGTATATCTACCCCTGGCCAAACAAAAATATGCCTGCCCATGTTGGACATACGTTGGCAGTTGTCGCTGTACCGTTCATCATGCCACGTCTACGTTGCCGTGCGGAGGGAGGGCAGGGAGGGGGGATGCCACTCCTGAACGAAAGCCTTGCCCCGATTTGTGGCCGCCGCGATCGCCGAGGCGACCTCCAAAACCGACCTGGAGGTTTAGTTGGGGGCTGGATATCACACAAGGGTGAGTGTCCTTCTTCGAGAGCGGGGGGCGGAGGAGCAGGGATCGGAGACCGAGCCGCAGCGCCGCCGCCACCGTACTTTCCCCTCAAAGCAACCGATGCGCTGATGATGAAAACTGCGAGCCTCCCCACTGAAGGAAAGGGGACTCCACCATGCTAAGCACCAGGCACAAAGGAGACGGAAGAGAAAGCAAGGAAACCGAGGAGGGAGAGTGGGCATGGCATCTCCGGGCACGGACCCCTCTCGTCGCCCCTTCTGGCCCCCCAGCTTTCCCCCTGGACCCCCAGTCTGGGGCCCTTGAATCCCTTGCACAGCTGCGTTCTCCACAGAGTCTTCACTGCTATCGTCCGTTATCCTCGTCGTTGGTATAGAATCCTTCGCTCGTGGTCTCCTCACCCCCCAGACACACACACACACACACACACACACACACACACACACAGCGCGGAGGCACCAGCGGCGGCGGTGGCGGCGCCGCCGCCGCCGGTGCCTCCGCGCCGCCAGTGCCGCCGCGCGGCTGGCCCCCACTCCGGCGGGAGCTCTGAGGCCGCCGCTTGCCCTTCTGCTCCAGCTTGACGTCCATCGCCTGCGCGGCACGGGGCGCAGGGGGAGGCGACTCAGCAGGCTCGCGCCGTGGCGACTGCGGCGCCAGCGGCCGGCGCGGCGTGGACCTGCAGCCTTCAGCGATCGGCGGGGCGGGCGGGCGGGCGGTGCGGGCGGTCGGGCGGGTCTGGCGGGAGGGCGGGCGGGCGGGGCACCGAACCTGACCTTCCAGGAGGGCTAAAATATGGCACCTGGACCTCGATATTTTAATCCTTGCCGAGGTTTTAGGCAGCCCAGATAGGTCTAGAGGTCTGGAGGGCTAATTCTTAGCACTCTGGAAGGTCAGTGGAACTGGAGGGGGGCCCCATCCCCCAGGACCACCGCCTGGGCGGGCTGGGTCGGGCAGGCCCTGAGGTGCGGGTCGGGCGGGCAGGACCCGACGGGCGGACCAGGCCGGGCGGGCCCCGACCAGCGGGCTGTCCAACTTGGCGCCCAGCGCCAGCGCGGCTCGGGGCGCAGAGGGACGCTGCGGCAGGTCAGTGTCGTGACGACTTCGGCGTTGGTGTCTCGGGAATTACTCACTGCGTGGAGTTCCTCATATGTGCATATCATGTTTTATGTCATGCCGTGGTGAACGTCTGTTCATGAGCGGTCGACTACAATAGCGCGTCCACGTGGGCGACAGGGCCGACGAAGACGAGTGACCCCTAATGCGAGTGATTGCGTATGAGTCAGAGTGAGCTTTGAGTATGGTTGAATGCGAGCCTCTTCCTCTTCATCCCCCCTCCTCAGCTGCCAGGCCTTCCCCTTTTCAGCCCGTGGTAGCTTTGGAGCTTCCCACATGTGCATATGTTGTAGGATAGTTGGCAGTGGGATATGTAAGACGAGCGCTTAGCCACACAAGGCCATAAGTGCATGTCATGTTGGAGGATAGTGCCACGGTGAGCATTTCCAACGATCCCCGCACACAACCACAGCCCCCCTCGCAGTCACCCCCTTATGAATACATATATATATATATATATATATATATATATATATGTCCTGGACTTCGGAACAAACGTTCTGCTCGCGTCAAGGACCTTCGAGCAAAGCGCTCCTCCTCCTCCTCCTCCTCCTGTTCCTCCGCCCCCTCCCTTCTCCTGCTCCTGCTCCTCCTCCTCATCCTCCTGCTCCCCCTCCCCCTCCGCACCCCCATGCCCTTCCTCACGATCCCCCGCCTCCTCCTCCTCCTCCTCCTGTTCCTCCTCCTCATCCTCGTTCCTGTCATTTCCCTCCCTGTTGAGCCCAGAAACAAGCGAACCGCCTGAGACATCCCCACAATATGGCCGCGAACGTGCCCGTGCAACCACCCCTGGCGGCTCCCTATAGGGGTGCTGCAACCAGCGCCCCGCCTGAGACATCCTCTCAATCTGCTCTCCAAGCGAAGGATGTTGAGCCCGGAAACAAGCAAACCGCCTGAGACATCCCCACAAAATGGCCGCGAACGAGCCCGTGCAACCACCCCTGGCGGCTCCCCTTAGGGGTGCTGAAACCAGCGCCCCGCCTGAGACATCCTCACAATCTGCTATCCAAGCGAAGGATGTTGAGCCCAGAAACAAGCAAACCGCCTGAGACATCCCCACAAAATGGCCGCGAACGAGCCCGTGCAACCACCCCTGGCGGCTCCCCTTAAGGGTGCTGAAACCAGCGCCCCGCCTGAGACATCCTCACAATCTGCTATCCAAGCGAAGGATGTTGAGCCCAGAAACAAGCAAACCGCCTGAGACATCCCCACAAAATGGCCGCGAATGAGCCCGTGCAAACACCCCTGGCGGCTCCCCTTAGGGGTGCTGAAACCAGCGCCCCGCCTGAGACATCCTCACAATCTGCTCTCCAACCGAAGGATGTTAAGCCCAGAAACAAGCAAACCGCTTGAGACATCCCCACAAAATGGCCGCGAACGAGCCCGTGCAACCACCCCTGGCGGCTCCCCTTAGGGGTGCTGAAACCAGCGCTCCGCCTGAGACATCCTCACAATTTGCTCTCCAAGCGAAGGATGTTGAGCCCAGAAATTACTCACTGCGTGGAGCTCCCCATATGTGCATCTCATGTTTTATGTCATGCCGTGGTGAGCGTCTGTTCATGAGCGGTCGACTACAATAGCGCGTCCACGTGGGCGACAGGGCCGACGAAGACGAGTGACCCCTAATGCGAGTGATTGCGTATGAGTCAGAGTGAGCTTTGAGTATGGTTGAATGCGAGCCTCTTCCTCTTCATCCCCCCTCCTCAGCTGCCAGGCCTTCCCCTTTTTCAGCCCGTGGTAGCTTTGGAGCTTCCCACATGTGCATATGTTGTAGGATAGTTGGCAGTGGGATATGTAAGACGAGCGTTTGGCCACACAAGGCCATAAGTGCATGTCATGCAAGAGGATAATGCCACGGTGAGCATTTATCTACCGTGCAACCACCCCTGGCGGCTCCCCATAGGGGTGCTGCAACCAGCGCCCCGCTTGAGACATGAGTAAGTCCGACAGGAGGGGGGGAGAAAAGAGGAGGAGGGAGAAGAAAGAGTAGGAGGCGTCCAAGTAATAACAAGAACCCCATCAGGGGTGCTGAAACCAGCGCCCCGCCTGAGACATCCTCACAATCTGCTCTCCAAGCGAAGGATGTTGAGCCCGGAAACAAGCAAACCGCCTGAGACATCCCCACAAAATGGCCGCGAACGAGCCCGTGCAACCACCCCTGGCGGCTCCCCTTAGGGGTGCTGAAACCAGCGCCCCGCCTGAGACATCCTCCAATCTGCTCTCCAAGCGAAGGATGTTGGGCCCAGAAACAAGCAAACCGCCTGAGACATCCCCACAAAATGGCCGCGAACGAGCCCGTGCAACCACCCCTGGCGGCTCCCCTTAGGGGTGCTGAAACCAGCGCCCCGCCTGAGACATCCTCACAATCTGCTCTCCAAGCGAAGGATGTTGGGCCCAGAAACAAGCAAACCGCCTGAGACATCCCCACAAAATGGCCGCGAACGAGCCCGTGCAACCACCCCTGGCGGCTCCCCTTAGGGGTGCTGAAACCAGCGCCCCGCCTGAGACATCCTCACAATCTGCTCTCCAAGCGAAGGATGTTGAGCCCAGAAACAAGCAAACCGCCTGAGACATCCCCACAAAATGGCCGCGAACGAGCCCGTGCAACCACCCCTGGCGGCTCCCCTTAGGGGTGCTGAAACCAGCGCCCCGCCTGAGACATCCTCACAATCTGCTCTCCAAGCGTACTGTGTATGAGTAAGTCTGGGTATGAGTGAGTCTGTGTATGAGTACGTCTGGGTATGAGTAAGTCTGTGTATGAGTATGTCTGTGTATGAGCATGTCTGAGTGTGAGTAAGTCTGAGTATGAGTAGGTCTGAGTATGAGTAAGTCTGAGTATGAGTAAGTCTGTGTATAAGTAAGTCTGAGTATGAGCAAGTCTGAGTATGAGTAAGTCCGACAGGAGGGGAGGAGGAAAGAGGAGGAGGAAGAAGGAGAGGGAGTAGGAGGCGTCCAAGTAATAACAAGAACCCCATCTTAGGATATGGGGAACAAGCAAACCGCCTGAGACATCCCCACAAAATGGCCGCGAACGAGCCCGTGCAACCACCCCTGGCGGCTCCCCTTAGGGGTGCTGAAACCAGCGCCCCGCCTGAGACATCCTCACAATCTGCTCTCCAAGCGAAGGATGTTGAGCCCAGAAACAAGCAAACCGCCTGAGACATCCCCACAAAATGGCCGCGAACGAGCCCGTGCAACCACCCCTGGCGGCTCCCCTTAGGGGTGCTGAAACCAGCGCCCCGCTTGAGACATCCTCCAAATCTGATGTGTGTTGAGTAAGTCTGAGTATGAGTAGGTCTGAGTATGAGTATGCCTGAGTATGAGTAAGTCTGTGTATGAGTAAGTCTGTGTATGAGTAAGTCTGGGTATGAGTAGGTCTGTGTATGAGTAAGTCTGGGTATGTGTACGTCTGGGTATGAGTAAGTCTGAGTATGAGTAATACTGTGTATGAGTAAGTCTGATATGAGTAAGTCTGTGTGTGAGTACGTCTGGGTGTGAGTAAGTCTGTATATGAGTAAGTCTGTGTATGAGTATGTCTGAGTGTGAGTAAGTCTGAGTATGAGTAGGTCTCAGTATGAGTAAGTCTGAGTATGAGTAAGTCTGAGTATGAGTAGGTCTGAGTATGAGGAAAGAGGAGGAGGGGAGGAGGAAAGAGGAGGAGGGAGAGGCAGTAGGAGGCGTTCAAGTAATAACAAGAACCCCATCTTAGGATATGGGGAAAAAACATGACTGCCCAACTTGGACATACAATTGCCAGACCTCTGCAGATAGATTGCTAATCATGAGCCACGTCCACGTCGCAGAGCGGGGGGGGCTGGGAAGGGGCACACCACTCATTAAAGAAACCCTGCCCCGATGTGTGGCCGCCGCGATCGCCACGGCGCCAGAGGTCTGGTTCGGGGTCGGATATCACGCAACGATGTCTGGCACCGCGTGGGTATCAACCTTGAACAGTCGGCGGCTCTCAGATCCGCCAGGCAGTTTCGTGATGGCCGACTCTTTGCCGCTGGCGGCGTTCAACCTTGGGACGCCCGCGCTCGGGTCGCGGCTGCGTACCGCACTGGTACTCTGCGCCCACCTTGGCTCGGGTGCGTCGAGGAGGGGGGCTGGGAGGAGGGGGGGGGGGGGGGCGCGTCGTGACCCGAGGAGCGCGCGCGGACGAGGGGGGTGTCGGGGCCCGGGGGACGTCTTGAGAGGAAGACGGGGCCACGAAACCCGGGAGACTTCACGGCGCCAGCCATGAAGTCCACACACACACACACACACACACACACACACACACGCACACACGCGCGCGCAAACACACACACACACACCTGGTCCTCGCACCCCTCTTGGACGCCAACGGTCGGGGGCGCACGCCCGACGTCCGACCAGAGCGTCCGAGCGTCCAGGACGTGGCGATGTCCGAGCGCCACGGCCGGACCACGCCCGCCACGGCGGTCATGCTGCAAGCTTCGTCAGTGGGCGAGTCGCCC